ATGAAGCTGCTGTTTTCTGGAGCGACATAGCTGGGCGAGTGAAGCTGCAGTCTGGTTCATTAGTAGTACTTCTTCCATCAGCGGCGGTTTCGACTGGGTTACCGGCATAAGTATTTGGGAAGATATCGTCTTGGAAGAGTTCGGATTTTCTTGGGACGCAGAAAGAGACTGGGATAACAGCATCTCTAGTGACTTTCATGAATCTAGTAGTCTCGCAGATTGTGGAATTGCAGACTCTCTTTGGGATGATGTTCAAACCTGATTGTGGCTTTTCACCTCTGAAAACGTTCAACAAGTAGAAGTAAGGCTTCTCATTGACGACTTCGTAGTAAGAAATGGTTCCGTCACCTTTACCTCCGATGTAGAGAATGGATGAATCGGCATCGAAGAATGGCATTAAGATACCGGATTGGTTATCTACGGTTTGATGAGCGACTGGCTTCTCGAGGTTTCTTTCATCCCAGAATGCCATTTCTCTTTCAGCGTTTCTAGAGAACCCAGTGGTCAAGATCATGTCGAAGTTGGTCATCCACAAACATCTCATACCTTTCGAGCCTTGGTGAGCAATAACATCAGCAACCATAGTTTGTTGTCTTGGGTCAATGATTCTCATCTTCTTGTCCTTGCAAGTCGAGACGAGTTGTGATCCGTTTTTGTTCCAGCAGACGGAGTTCACGATATCAGTGAATCCTCCAATATTGAACATTTCTTCACCTTGTTCAATATCCCACAACTTCAAAGTGGCATCAGCAGAGGAAGTGGCCAATACATTGCTAGCACATGGGTTGAAATTACAAGTGCCGACTTTACGTTTGTGGCCTTTGATAAGTTGGGCTGGATCAGTCAAATTGCCTTGTGGGCATCCTTCAGGAATCGACCAGATGTAGACGTTACAATCCTCAGAAACAGAAGCAACCAAGTCATCATTGAATGGGTTGTAATCAATATCCAAGACAGTGCCCTTGTGTCCAGAAGCCAAGCAGACTTCAGTTTGTTTTCCATGTCTGTCATATGGAATTGTAGCAAAAGCTCCTCCACCAGCTACGTCCCAGACCATAGAGAAATGTTTCACACCGCAACTGACCATGTTTGAATCCCAGGCAGACCGGGTCATCTTGGTCCCTGCATACTGCAAGTCAAATTTCGGCTCAGTGCCGAAAACGTGTCTGTACTTAGAGGTTCTTACAATCTTGGACATGGAATGAATTTGTCAGCAAGCAAAAGATCTTATATTGTAATCTGGAGTTTTCTTTTTAGTTTCTTGGCGGCTTAGTCGGTGCTTTTCAAGTTCCGCTTTTGTATTTCTTTAAATCGACAATTCAAGATAACTGTTCCCCATTTCCCGATTTATTAAACTGAAATAATGATCGTTTTGTTCATTTGAATTGTAGGTATTATTTTTCAAAGTATAAATAGTCGACTTCGTATAACTTCTTGATATTCAAATAACATTTTATTTTGAAAAACGTTTTTTTTTTGTTTTTAGCTTAAAAAATCAGAGAAAAAAGTGCACCTTAGTTCCACAAAACGTGAAAGTGGACATATTTTACATTTCTGAGTTGAATGAGATTTAATAACAAATATATAACATTTTTTATTTTGAGAATGATTGTAAAGCAAAAAATCAGGAAAAAATACCAGTTCTCGATTTGGAGTTCTCTAAAGTGCACCATAATTACACTCCTTAAAAGAAAAAGAGTTAGTTTGCAAAAATAGAAAATCATTGAATAATTAAGAAATTTGTTTGCTGTGCACAATCGGCTGAGTGGTATAAAAGAAAATGAAAACATCTTTGGCATATGCTTTTCAAGACAACATTTACCATTTTATAGTAATAACTAATATCTAATAGTTTACAAATCATTTAATTTCGTGTCGATTTTCATTATATGTCCATTTTGCCTTAAGAATAAAAAAATGAGAAGATTAAAGCGATTGTGCATGACAAAAGAATTGAGCTTTGAAGAAAAGAACGTGAGATAAAGATCAGTATTTAATGAAGGGCAAACTTGAAAAATAAACAAACCCATGAGCGACCAAATGGGACATATGAACGCTTCAGTGTCCAACTCTGAGCCCCGGAATCCAACGGATCAGTTAAGTACACTCGACTCGTTTGACAAAGGCAACAAGAAGAAAAAGTTTTCTCACACATGGACCGAAAAAGAAGATGAGATGTTAGAAGAAGCCGTACGGTGTAACGGTGCGATGCATTGGAAAGTAATAGCTGACATGATTCCAGGTCGTTCTCGTAAGCAGTGTAGAGAGCGGTATTGTTATCACTTAGACCCCAAAATCAATAAACGGATGTGGTCTATTCAAGAAGATCAATTACTGGTTAACCTCCACAAAGAGGTTGGTAATCACTGGAGTTATATGAAGAAATATTTGCCTGGACGAACCGCAAATGCCATCAAAATAGATTCACGTCGAAGGCTAAAAGCAACCAAAAACGGGCTTTCAGTATTCACCGCGGTCAGCACGGAGTTATACTCAGTGTTCTGACTATATGTATTGTTAATTCACTTTCCTGTGTGTTTTGCTGAGTTGGTCAACACAAATAATTACGAAATTTACTATTAAAAAGTTATTAAAATACTATTTTTTTAACATCCTGGTTGGTGGCTAAAACAGTTTTTGAGGGAATCAATAATTATTGTTTTAATTAACGCGCTTTTTTTATCGGTTTTGTTATAATTAACGAGTTGTTTTGATTAAGAAAAATGTGGGTTTGTTGTGTAAAAAACGTTTTATTTAAGTAAAAAAAAGCACGTTAAAATATTAAATCGTTAATTATTGTTTTAGTTAATTTGTGTTTTGAAGGAAATTTTTAAACAACTGTTTTTTGATTTGAAAAAAGACTGCGATTTTGTTTTGTCAATGATTTTTTTAGTTGGAAATATAATATATTTATAAGAAACAATAGTAAAATAATTCTGTTTGTTCCAGTTTTCCATATTTCAATAAAGAGTAGGTTTTGAAGTCTTTTTCGATTGGCTGTCTCTTCTACTTTTTTCTACAAAGTTCTTAAAAAACTGTCCAAAACAAACAAAATAATAAAAAAGCTATTAATTTTGATTGTTTTCGTTTTTTTAAAATTGTTTTTTTTACCCTAACAACATGTTTGCTTAAGACCAAAATAAAATAACCAGTTGTTAATATAAAACAGTTGATTTTTGCATTAATTGATTTGCATTACCACAATCAGTATTCAACTTTAGCAAAAATAGTTTAGAAACATTATGATGGTTATTTACTGTTTTTTAATTTGTTTTTTTTTTCAATGAAATATTAATATTTATAACTAAAAATTTTAATTGGTATTAATCTTTGAATATATGTGCATTGATATCTCAAAAATAAACAAAATTATCACGTGATTGTAAAATGAAAGATTTGAATGATCTTAAGAAAAAGGACGAGAAACCCTAAAACTTTATAACACTTTTTGGTAATGCAAAATCGCTCTCGTGAATTAACATTAAGTGATCAATGCATGAAAAGAAGAGAAGACATGTCAATTCTACGTTCCAAACGACGTCAAGTACTTTTGAATGCACGTCGAACAGAAGAGCCTGTTGACACCACTCCAGAAATACCTTTACTCCAGTCAATCCCAATGCTTCAAACCAATCCAGAAATAGCAATTGAACTCATTAATGCGCATTTATATCGAAATGAATATCAAGACATTGCCGATATTTTCCCAGTACTTCCAAGTTTCATGCAATTGCTAAACTCTTCAGACAACATTCAATTAAAAACTTTGACATTATTAGTCAACATCAGTTCTGTTGGTGCATGTGCAGATGAGTTAGCCAAATTCAATTATCAAATGTTTATGAACACTTTCATCTTCCACCAAAACACATTAATTAGGACGCGAGCAATCAAATTACTGACTAATTTAATTCACAATGGAAATACCGAATATCAAAACCTCAAACAAAGTGGCCTTTTAAATCTACTTGAAAAAGCACTCAACACATTCAACAACGACGCTTCATTGTGGAAAGCAATCACAGAACTTATCACAACTGTTTCAGAGGTGTCGGACATCTACACAGATGTGTCAATGCAAACAGAAAACGTCACTGTCAACATAGTACCCAGTGGCCCAATAACACAAGTCTCTTTCTCACAAGATGTCACACCACAAAACGCTTTTATGGAGGTCTTCCCTATCTTTGCAAAGCTTTTCAGTCGTATTGGAGAGATCCCTGAAATGTATTCGTGTATTGCGATGTTCTCTGCGGATCAAAAGGCGATGGAACAAATGGACGATATGATTCCAACGCTCTTCAACATATTTGTCGACGCACTTGCTTCGAAGAACAAAATTGTTTGTACCAGTGCGGTGATGTTGTGTATGAATATAGTTGACAATGTGTGTCTCATGACTAAAATGATATCCAATAGTGCTTTCTATAGCAATTTAGTGAAGGCGTGTAAACTCTCAGATGTATCTTCCTTTGCAAGTATATGTTATATTACCGCCTCAATTATAAAGACCAACAAAGACACTGCACAGTATTTCTTTAGTTCAGACTTAATTAGTGTGATGGTGGAAAAGATCACTAAAATCGACTTCGAAGAGATGGACCAATCCGTCACTGATATCACTTTTGACTTCTCGTCTTTCTATACGGACGTGTTAGACTTGGTGTCAGAGGACAAAAAGGCTACTTTACTTCTCTTCGAAAACAACGAGCCCGTCTTCAAAGTACTCGCCTGTTGTGTGGAAAGAAACTCAATGGACTTCAATTGTTCTCTTGCAAGAAATCTGACTAAAGCAATGGCGTTTTTGATCGAAAACGACTTCATCGACTCGGCGCGTGAACTTTCGGAAATGTTGGAGGAGTCAACTATCACCGAGAAAATTCAAAGTGTCGGGATGAACGAGGAAGACTTCGCACAAATCGCTGACGAGTATATGAAATGCGTCACTTTCCCTGAAAATTCGGGTAATTCCGACGGGGTTTAATGTACTAGTCGTTTAATTGTTATTTACTATTTAAGTTAAATTACTCTTTCTTCTAGTAAAAATAGTATAATTATCATACAATAATCATGCTTCTCTTATTTTTAAATAATAACATCTTGGTGATATTTTGTCAATTGTTATTATTTATTATATATTTATTATATAATATAATACACTACTACTACCACATAACCCTGGTGACGTGTCCTTTACTATTTAAACTCTCAATTTTTTTAATTAAATCGCCTTGCGCTCGGGCAATATCTATTTAATGACAGAAATGGAAAGTAGATGATTGCTAGTTTAAAACTAAATCCAGCCCAGGTACCACGTGTCTTGCGTCGGACCAATTTTTGTACTCGTTTTAATCTTCTCGAAAGAGAAGACCTTAACCTTATTCTATATTATATTATCAAATTTAATTATTATTTTTAATCAGTGCATTTAAATTGTTTAACTTCTTTTAATAGAAATATTTATTATAAAGTATTAGTTCTGTTTTTTAAGAAGGACAACCCTCTTCAGTTAAGTAAGTCTTAACATGAGTTGTTTTGTCTATTTGACTAATTGAATGGTTTGAACAAGTGTTATTTCTTATAAAATAAATAAAAATAAATTAATAAACTAGAAATCATAATGGACTTCGATGATCGAGTGATGGTGAAATAGACGAGTGGGAGATGTCAGTTCTCCGGAGTGGTGTAGCCAATAGCAAAAAAGGTG